AAAAGGAGGCAGTATTGGGCACTGGAGATGAACTCTACACTGCTTGAATGAAACAGAAAAGCGCAATTGATGGTTAAATCAAACGACCATGGAAAATACCGTAAGAAAGGTTAATTACATGGAAATCAAGACGGTAATTTGGGATCAACATGGATATAAACACCTTGGTCTAACTCGCCAAATCCCCCGCGATCAGGCTACTTGCGTGGAGAAATCGTTGGAGAATTCCCAAAGAGTTGGAAGGCGCCACTTGGATGCGAGAGAAGAGAAGAAATTTATACAAAATATAATTGTAATCAGCGAAAATATTCCTGAAGAGAAAAATGCTAATCAGGACGATCAAGTTCAAACGCACTTGCACAACACCCAGAGCATAAGCCCTTTGGGATCTGCTAACAATCTGCCGATCGAGCGGGGAAGTGCGTGCTTTGATTGAAAAGTCGAAGGTATTGTTTGCTCCAGCATCAGTCAACCGGGTAAAAACGTATATCAGGAGATTGACACTAGAACAAAAGAAAGAACAACAAAGAGTGACATTGAGAACATAAATAAGAGTGTGATGGAATTAAAAACCGGCACTGCGTATCGCCCACTGAAAACCCTTTTGGCCATTTGTGGCTCGTGAAGTGCGCTCTCTACTCAACTGTTGTTGCCTTTCTATTGTTGAAAGGCTAGAAGAAAGCCTTGAGTCACAGTGTAACTAAGAATTCTCCCAGAAAGAAGAAAGTTTTATTGGAGAAAGCGGATGAACTCTAAAAAAATGTCTATTGCAAAGGCAGAATACAGTAAAATAAATGGCAAACTCCCCTTTGGTCACAATCTTCACAAAAATCCGGAATTTTAAGTTCCGAAGAAACAATGGAAGGTGCTGGAGGAAATAACAAGGCTAACAAGCAATTTGATGATGAGTTGGAAGGAGCTGGGGAGCCACAAATATTTTCTTTGGCGGGGTGCAGACTCGACTTATCAAATATGTAGCCATAAGTACCTTTGACTAAGGCTAATCATTTAAAAAAATTGTAAGCCAGCTTTTTAACGACGATGCACGCTGGGAGTTGTTAGCGAGCGTTAGAAGCGAAGTAATGATGGTACTCTTTCATTTATTTGAATGTAAACCCATATTATAATATTGCAACGCGTGAAATATTTTACTTCACCAATTACATTTAGATACACCGGGTTTGGGGTTGAATATGTGTTGCCATTAAAATTTAAATGAGAGAACCTTTGGTCGCAGGGAAAAAGTTTGAATAATCGCCTGAATACTAAATGCGTAGTTGCGAAGCTCGACTATGAGATGTAAAGTCTTATATATTCATTGTGGATTAGCATTTCCCGGTTCGTAATTTCGTGAGACTGATCGGTTAAAATAAAGGTCGCCATTTTTTCTAAATTGTCTGAAAGTCTCAGTTCAGCCCAAAGTTTGGGTGCAGTCGCCTTACATGTTACCTTTAAGGTAACGTTTCTAGGTGTGTGTTTGAGATTTTTGATCTGTGACTGCCTCTGTTTCTACCGCCTAGTTACGTCAAGCGACTTGATTTAACGGTTGAAGGAATTTCAAGTGCGGCTTTCAAGTAGCTTCTCAGTTCGAAACGAACTGAGAAGCTACTTCTATCCACTGGAAAATTTGAATCTTAACTTAAAATACTAATATGAATAAATTACATAGTACTTTTCGTACTGACACATTCCACACGAACGATGAAAAAAAGTCTCTGACACTAATCATAGATTAGCACAGTGCGTTCAGTCTAGCATGTGAATGAATATTGTTTGCCTCAGCCTGACAAAATTCAATGTATATCAAATCTGAAAATATCGAGTGGTGGCTTAGCTTACAGTTCTGATTTGAAGTAAACAACTGAATTTGTTGGATCAAATGTTTCAATTTATCTACATGTCTTCCCGGGGCACTAGATAAAGGCAAGTTAACCGGTGGAACTTCACTTTCAGAGGGTTTTACAGATCTTGCATGAAGTCGAGGCCGTGTGCGTCAATCATTCCAAAATAGCGTGGAAAAGCTGGAAACGTTTCGGATTCGGATGGATACCCTTGGAATATCATAAAACTAGCGGGACTCGGAAACAATATGAATTTTAAGCCTTGTCCTACGTTGAAAGAAATTATATTCTCAAGCGAAACGGCGTACAAAAGAAAAACGAAAGAAAAATAAAGGTGCAAATGATTTGGTATTTGTATCCTACTCATGCTTATCGGAAACCTTCGGCATTGGTCTTTCATTTAATTAAAGTGTGAAGCACCCATACCTGTCGAGGGCGATTTTTGCGTACAGGGCTTAATTGTGCCACAGTCATTAATCTATGTATTACTCATATCGGTTTGAGAAAACACAATCCTATTAGTGAAAAATACCTTACATGATGATCCCTCACCTGATGATGGGACCCCACATGATGATCCCAAAATGATAAATTTAAGAGTAAACAAGGAAGAGAGCAAACATCGAGTGGAGGAAAAACCCTACTGAGACTAGGATACCATCCAGTCATTTATGAAACAGGCACGGATTGGAACTGGGACGTCATGGGAAAAGAATCCATGAATATCTGGTCGGCGGGCTTGAACCCAGACCACTGTATGCAGTACTCTCACCGCTTACCCCTGCTAACTTCTATCAGAGAGCTTTGGAAAATACTTCTTTTTGCTCCTGTTGAGGTTTCTAACTTTGAAGTGCATGAAAATACCTCAACAATTAACCTGTTTTGAATGCACTTTTAACTTTATTTTCTTATTATTGAAATTTTAGTCCCTTGTCCGGTAATCCGGTAAAGGAATTGCCGTCAAATATTTTTAGCACAAATACTGACCTGGTGTACCTGTAAGTAGATTTTTTCTCTATTTTTAGAAATCACCTTCAACGCATAACAATGATAATTTTCTTTTAGAGTTTATAACTCGCGAATAATTTTACCTCTAAAATATGATTAAAGATCTAACTGATAGCTTGATATTTGGAATGGTATTAGGAGGCCTCTGTCGATAGTAAACAAACAATTAAGAATGACAGTATTTGGAGGTTTGTGTTAAAATCCGTACTTAGGAGATTTCAGGAAAAATTGGTATGTTGTGGGTGAGGAACTACGATGACCTACTCGAAAGCTGGCAAAGGCAACCCTCATTATCTCTCAGTTGTATCAAAAAAACAAAACGAAACAACAACAAAAAATTTAATGATTTTTTGTCGCAAGACCATAAGTAAAATAATGTGGAAAAATAATTGAAAAAATGAAGACCAATCTGATCTAATGCTAAATGTTTTCACTATATGGTGCACATGGATCAGCGAACCTGTAGTTTACTTTTTATAACTGAAAACTGATAATTTTAGGTGCAAAAATATAAAGTTGCAATGAAAACCGTTCTGCTATATCTCTATTAAAGTTTGGCAGCCTATAACCCAGAACAGAGCAAACATGCTTCTTAACATTTGAGTAAGGAGCATGCAGCTAGGCTTCTAAGCACTAACTGCTCGACATCCAGGCTCTTTGTGAAAGTTTGCTGTCAATGAATAAGGAGATTCGTTTGTCAGGTGCTGGAATTATCGCGTCAAGGGCAAGAAAAATTAAAGTGCAAAGCTCACTGAAGGTCCAACCATACGAAGCCCGGAGAAATTTGATAACACAGCTCTCTCTTAAGGGGAAGGGGAATGCGATCTTAGTTTCCGTGTTATGTTTCGTATTTACTCAGGTTCCCTCGTTCCTGCCATTATTTAAAATTATCTCTCCGAACTTCTATTAAAATGATTATCATTCTCAAAAAGGGCGTTGCAATTTTCCACCGCCGGAATACACCTGATTACACGTTCTTGCGGCGCAGAAAGTTATGAGAATTAAGTCGCTTCAAAACATAATTTTGACTCTGATTTTCACTGAGCTTCAAATGACGGTCATAGCTTTATAAAGAATTAAATTCTCTCCAAAAAAATTAGTTTACTCAATTCACAAGAGCTAATCATTGTAGCTGCATAAAATAGGAAAGTGAAAAGTAAAAAGATGGATGACACGCCCTTGGCGATACCACTGATTTCTACCGAGAGAAATCATAATACAGCTTATCAAGGAATGAAAATTAGAAGAGCTGAGATGGCAATTATTACAAGAATGAGTCCAATCCTTATAGTTACACATCAAGATTGGGTTAACCTAGCCAACTATAAAGTAATTTGGTAATGTATTGCTTCTATTTATATGTTGTGCAACACTTATGCATGGGGACTATATCATTAGGTACTTGTCTGAAATGCAACTGCACAACCTGCCCCTGGGAATCTTTGACAATAAAACGAAGTTGCTGTACTTGTAAGTAACATTTCTTTTCCGTACGATTTAAAGTTAGCGAACAGTGAGTCTTATACGAACGTAAATTTACCTAAAGATTTCAGACCCATTTTCAATTGCTTACCAAATTCGCATGTTTAATAGAACAAGAAATTTTACAGACGCAGTGGTACTTAAGATATTGCCAAATCTTTCTTGAAGTGCGGCTAAGATGCGCCTCTTTTGCTGCACGACAGCTCTAACAGCCTGTGAGCGTTTTTTTTTTTTAAATTGACACAAGTCAGGGTGTTATAGATAAACCTAGACAGGTTCATCAGATTCCTCGTTAAAAAAAATTTATACTAAGAGTGACATCGACTGTCACATTCAAGACAAGCAATTCTGTAATCAGATATCGGTCCAGGACTTGCCATTAAGAGATTCATTCTCTTTAAAACAGTCATCAACAGGTGTGTGGTGCCAGTATGGAGGTACCAGCAGTGTGGTTTAATGAGTATTAAGGACGAAGTGCAAAAAATTAATCACTCATGAAAGTGATGCCTATTTTTGCTTAATTAACACAACATCAATAGCTGTCAAGGACAACAGCCCAGAAAAGTCTAAGCGATTCCCCTACCTAGAGCGATTCACTTCAGGCGTATCATAACTCTATTATTAATCAGTTTATATGGTAAATGACGCAGACATCTGAATGACAACGACATGAAAGGGTTAAACGGAAAGGCCTTCAAAAACTTGAAAAATTTACAGGAACTGTAAGTGAATATATAATTCCTTGTTTAAGAGGCGTTTGTCGTCAATACAAATTTAGATATAGTAAAAGTTTATAATTTCCCTTTGCTGGATAGCAATGAATTAACATTTTTTTGTGACCTATACTATGAAATGATACGGGAACGACACCTCTTTTATCAAAAAATATTTTTTTAGAGATGGTTTATCAATATATCTTCTGATACAAATCATTGCTCCATGTTGATAAAAATTGAAGAATTGAGATAAAAACAGAGATGAATGTATAACATTGCATCAGGTTGAGAAACTATTATCGGTTTGTTACTATTGTCCTTCCAAAATTCTGTTTTATCATATCACTCATCCCACTCCGAACGGTAAGTTCACTATGATCTCAAGCCAAACATTCTCTAGTTCGGCCCTCCCACTCGTTGAATAACTACAGAGAACTTTATCGTATTGCATTGCATCGAATGGCATTGCATTTTGTTGTGATGTATGGTCAGATACATAATTTGATTATCTGTTTTATTGTGTTTCACGCGATGCCTTTGTTAACAATAACTTTGTTCGTAAAGCAGCAGCATCCTCCCTTCCTAATAACCTTTTGCTTTTTATTCTGCTCCACTCTTATTTTTTCCATTTTATTTCTTTTTGCTCTTATCTCTCGTGCACCCACCAAGCCAGAAGACTAGTAATTATAAACGCTTCTTAATAAAACTAAGTAGATTTTTCTTCTTCAACACAGATGGTTGGAAGACAACAGCTTCACTGAACTGCCTCCCGAATTATTTCAAGATCTAAAAAGCCTGGAAAAACTGTAAGTTACATGTAAACGCTCTCCTCAGAAATTAGCTTTGTAACTGCGCTAAAGGTATTATTATTAGCTTTTCATGTCGTCTCCTCTCTAAAACAAGACTGCTCTTGTGATTATATTGATAACGCTGGTAACTATATTACTGCGTCTCTAATCATACGAGATTAGACAAAATATTTCCGTTTTCAAATTTTCTGATATTACCTTCAGAACGAAAAACGGAAATAAACCAGTTGAACCTTATAAAACTGTTTCGTCATTATTGTTCTGATAATCAGAGTAGAGGGTTTTGGTCATACAGCAACGAAATCAAAGCGTGCCATGAAGTGTCTGGTCATTATATCATTATCTGTTGTGAACTAGGTAGGTGTCTCGATGACTTCTTTAATGAATGATTTACCAAAGACGCACTTTCTTATCTCATCATTCCTATTAGCTATCTGTCAAATAACAAATTGAAGACTCTACCGGATGGAATTTTTAACAGCCTTTCCAGCCTGACACATCTGTGAGTACAATAATCGCTACACAAAAAAAGTGCGAAAAGAGGTCAATGAAATTTCCCGAGAGCACATTTCTCAAAGCTCCGCGCCCTATTCAGTCAACAGAAACACTTAAGGTAAAATTGAAAGGTTTGACACGTGTGTATAAATCGAAATTTGCGAGCATTGATGTTTCGTTACAGAAACAGCACAGTTTTGGTGATAAAAATGAATAAGTTGCTCGATGAATCAAAGTCCATGGTTCACTTTTTGTCTCCGTGTCATGAAAATTTTACGGTCAATTTTTGTAAAACTGATTAGATGAATTTTAGAATGCTACATTATGTAAACGTGCTTTGATGAGTAAAGTTGACGTACTTGGAGGTTTGAAAATTACTAGTAAAAAACCTGCTTGTAGCATAGCATGATAAATCATTTAACTAAGGCTGCAACAATAATAATAATTAAAATCTCATTAAAAAAAACAATGATAATAAAAGTAATGTACGATGATAATAAAACTATTTTTATTAATTCATGTTGATAATTTTCATGTTGGATATTATTCACTGTTTCACTTCCCTTTATGCTGACGATACCAAAGTATATCGCAACATCAATATCATCGATGACTGAATGTCTATGCTGAAAACCTTGACCAACATGCACACGTGGACTCGGCGCAACAATATCCGGTTCATGCTTTTAAATGCAAGGCGCTAACCATCACTCGAAAAAAGAGCCCGCTAGACTTCATTTACAAGCTTGATAATTTAGAGCTCGAGCGTGTGTCCACGGAGAAAGTCGTTGTAGTTAACATCACCAACTCTCTCACCTGGAACACACATATCCATGCCATTACTGCTAAGGCCAACAAGTTACTTGGACTTTTAAAACACACGTGCCCATTATTAAACGATTTCTCTGCTAAACGCTCACTTTATCTTGCGCTTGTGAAGTCTCGGTTATCCTACGCGACCCAAGTCTGGTCCCCGGACAAGATTGCATTAAAAACTCAAATTGAAAGGGTTCAAAGGAAGGCCACAAGGCGGATCCTCAAACAACGTGTAGGCGTGATGTCATACAGAGACAGACTTTTAACTCTGAAACTTCTTCCCCTGACATTTGACCGCGAACTCAAAGATCTTGTTTTTTTTTACAAATGTCGGAGTGGCTTTACTGATCTTAATGTTTATGATTTTGTTTCTCCTGTTTCTCACGGCCGAACCAGACTAAGTAATTCTTATAACCTTAAAACTCCTGTATGTAAAACTAGCACTTTTCAGGCCTCTTACTTTAATCGTATTGTTAAGCTCTGGAACTATATATCTGTAAATTTTCACCCCCTACCAGTTTTTCAACTACTGCTTCCTTCCGCAACTTTGTTACTGAGCACATGTTTCACCTTTTGTACAATCACTTTGACATATCCTTTCCCTGTACCTGGTCAATTGTACGATCCTGCCCCTGCCATCCCTAGTTTGGCGTCTTTTGGTTGATCATGTTTTAATTATTATTTGTACCATGGGAGGTGCCTCGCATGGGTCCTCGAGTCCCGTTCGCACCTTCCCTTTTGACCTTATCACTTTTGCACATATATCTCATTTTTTTTCTTGGCTGTTTAATTTGCTGTATGTAATATGTGTAATGGTCAATAAAGCTGTTAAAAAAAAAAAAAAAAGATCAACCATCTATATTGTTCCCTTTTGCAAGGGAAGTTAAAACAAATACATTCAACTAGGAAACTACTGCAGAGGAAGACAATATTTTATTGGCAACTGTTCTTCAAAAGCCGCCAATAATTTCATGATTATAGATTTGTAACTTTGGTTACCATTGTTTTTAAGGGATTTGTCAAATAATGAACTTGGAAACCTACCGCCAGACATATTTAAGAACATTACAGCTGTGAAATTTCTGTAAGTGAGATTTTCTTCGAGTTAAGAGAAATTAAAAACTATCTTTAAGAATTACTTTGCAATAACGACAAGAAGTGAGTTAATCAGCTTCTTAGTTCATTACATTTTTTTTTATTCTAGGCAGCTAAAACTGTTTTGTCTTGTAGTTATTTTCTGTAACAGAAGCGTAGAGTTTGTTGACTTAAATACTAAAGCAACCCAAATAATTTTGTAAAAATGGTCAATGGACTACTTACGACTTTCAAATTTAAACTCAGCTTTAAACAACAGACCAACAGCAGCGGTTTCTAGTAATAAAATTCAAAGTTTCTCTGATCTGAGAGAATTAAGAATACATGTTGATCTCAGGCTTTTTTTTCCGTTGTTTTTTTATTCTGTTTAATGTTTAAATATAAAAACCGAGAACTAGTTCACCGGTGGTAATTTTCCTGCAGTAAATTAAGAAGACAACAGTAGATTTAGGGATATCACTTCAAAGCTACATATTTGTATTTCAGGCTAACATTTTCATGACACTTTCTTCAGGAAAATGGACTACAACAAAATTGAGAGGCTTCATGAAGATCAGTTCCAGGGCTTAGAGGAGTTGTTCGATTTGTAAGTGCATTTAGATTTAAAACGTTAATTCTTCATTGTGATCTGTCGCAATCTAAAACATATTTTAGAACCAGCCAATTCATCTGCTTTATAAAAACAAACTAACTCAGTGAATACAAATTGACATGTAACGGTCTAGAAATTAACCACATTTATGTCGAGAGGTAATACCAAAAGAAGTGTATGATAATTGTGTATTGGCAAGGTTTTTTTTAACGTTTTAGCGATAAGCGGCTTAAATGCACTGATGAGATGTCTGTTTATATTCGCACTCGCATTAGATGGGTAAACTCGATTTCTATAACTTCAAACTTTAGAGCCGAAATGATAAAGCAAACTTGAAAGGATAACAGCTATTTGTAATAAAGAAAAAAATGGCTTTAATTTAGCTGAGAAAAAGATACTGGCTATAAATACTGCAAGGGTTTGGATTACAACGGCCGTGCGATTAATCTTCTAAGGGATTTAACCTGGTATCCTGAGTTCTAATATGGCCTTTGAATATACTTCGATGATGGTAGCACAGATATTAGTTAGAATATAAAATCAGGAGCCATAACAGGGAACACCCCCTTAGTAAATATGGTTAGCATCTTCTGTAAGTATTAGCTTCTATAAAAAATGAATCACGGTATTTTTCATCAGATCTATATAATTGTGATATAATTTTGATATCGGTTCGGTTTTTTAAGTTAGATGTGCCATGCCTAGTTATCGTGTATTAGTTTAAAATTATCTTTACCTGTATAAGATACCTCTCGGAGAACAGAATCGAGGCTTTGCCTGACAAGATTTTCAAAGGCGTCAAGAACCTCAAGGCTCTGTGAGTACCGCTGATTACACACAAAAAATTCTCTAGAATTTTTTAGAAGATGAAAATGTACGTAACAGAAAGATTCAAAGTATGGAATTCTTATTTGAAAATATTCACATGATCTCCAACAGGCGTGGTTTAAATTGTAATGCTCAACAATGAAATTTTATTACTTTCTATTTTCTTGACGAAAGAAAGGTGGCTTGTTATAAACATGGTGTTATTATGCAAAAGTGGATATTATCAAAAAAACAAACAAACACAGTTGAGAACTATGAAAATTCCGACGGCAACTTCAGGTTAAATTTTTAAGAATCAGACAATGCAGGTCCCTGTTTACCATCTGCTCATTAATAGTCATGTTATTAACTTTTACAGAAATATCTTCGGCAATAAGATACAAAATGTCACCAGCACGACTTTCAGTCATGCCCAGGAACTGCGATTTTTGTAAGTTCGCCGTAAATGGCAATTATTTAACATGGTACTTACAATAAAGCCGCATGTATTGCAATCGAATAAGACCCAGCTTGAAGTTAATTTAGAGTATTAAAGTTGGTATTCTTTTAAATTTGTCGCAGTCAAAAGAAAGGCTTGTAACAAGTTATTTGGGAAAATGAGATATGCAATTTATTATATGCTAATTAAATTTTCACCTTCTATTTTAAACTTCCAGATTCTTGCATTACAACCTGATGGCTGAGCTCCCCAAAGGCTTTTTTGGGCTTTTGCCGCACATTATCAGAGTGTAATACTCCATTATAATAATTTAACTCAATGGTTTTAATAGGAGATTTGGGGCGAGTGTTGTCTGAGTTGCCTTTAAAGTAGAAATCTTTGTCAAATTGTGATATGGGTGATGCAACCATTTTAATAATTTTGTTTCCTTCAGTCTGTTTGGTTCAGTTGATCAATAAATTTTCATTCACGTCAACATCTTCTATCTATTCCAATACTGAAATGATATGAAGCCACATTTAGTTATTATATAAAATTGCCAAAGGCATGCTTCGTGAGACTTTTTAATTGCTACTAATTTATGAAAAAATGCTTACCAATCATCTTTGCCTCAGCATAGATCACTTATTTGCCGATTGTTTTCGATAATCTTTATTATTTTGCTCTCATTGTTCTAACGATGTACCCTTTCTAATTTCCTCTTCTTTTTCTAATTCCAGAACTCTGGACACCAACCTGATGTGCTGCCACCTTGATCTTTTCAGGCAGGATGCCGATTGCGAATTTGCCTTCAATGATAACTTCGCAAGCTGTCACTCCATGTTCCGCAACCTTGCTCCAAGGAGAAGTCTTTGGGTTGTCGGCCTTCTCTCGTTGTTTGGGTCTGTGTTTGTAGTTGGTAAGGGTATTTCTT